AAAGCTATTAAAAAATCCCCTTATTGGGATTTTATGTGTGCTAAAGCAAAAGAGATTCAAAGCTGTATTAGTTTTTCCATAAATGCCAGTAGCAATCTGTCTTTCATTTGGGATCCCTGGTGTGGAGGCCATTCTGTTGCTGATCATCTCATCAATGCAAACTCTATTTCGAGTTTTACTCATCTCTTTGACAAAACTGTTTCTCAGTTTATTTTGGGGGATAGCTGGATTATTCCTAACAGCTTCGAAAATGACCTTGTTACTCTGATTAAGAATGTGGCTATTGTTTCCCAACCTGAAAATCATTTCTGGTATGACAAGCAATACCCTAGTTTTGGTGATTTCCATTCTATGTTTTCTGCACATAAAGAAAAGGTGTCTTGGCATAAGCATATTTGGCATAAAAGGGGTGCTCTTCGTTTTACTGTCTATGCCTGGTTGGCATTTAAGGGTGGATTAAAAACAGCGGATGTTCTTGCTATTAGAGGTATTCTGGTTCCAAATACCTGCTGTTTTTGTCATAATAGTATGGAAACTATCACTCATCTCTACTTTGAATGTAATTTCACTTTTGACATTGCCAAAAAGTTATTCCCTTGGTTACAAAAACTGTTAATGAGACCAAATATCTACCAGTTTTATGATAGTATTTGGGAGCAGAATTTTAATTCTAAAACGAGGAACCTCTTCCTTCTAACTGCCTCTGCTACAATCTACTATGTCTGGCGTGCAAGAAATGACAGAATCCTTGGTGGCATTATTGATTGTAATGACACAATTACTTCTAAAATCAAGAAAGCTATTTTGTTAAAGAATCTGGATTGGAAAACATGATGATAGCCGAATTCTGGAAACTGGAAGCTGTTTACTGGAAGCTGGGCGTTGCTTTATCTGGAACCTGGGTGTTGCTTCAAAATTTTGTGACTGCTGCAGTTGTTTTTGATGCTTGCGAGCTGGGTTTTTATTACCCTGAAGCCACACTTCTGTTTTTTCTGATGTTGAGAAGGTTCAGTGGCATAATTTTTTGGGAGGGTGCTACAATTTTTGAAAGGACGATGATGAACGCTGATTATTCAGCTGCCCCTCGGACGGTCTTCTGGGCAACCAGGGGCCATGCTCATCTGCGACCAAAACGATTTTTGACCCTTCGAGAATCTGAGCATTTTCTGAGTCCTTGGCATCTAGGCCATTTTAATTTTTCTGCATTTGTTATTTCTGTTTAGTTTTTCCTTTCTTTAGAATCCAAAATCTCTTTTTGTTTTGAGATTGTTGGATTATAGTTTTGGTTCCTTACTTACTTGTAATCTTTTTTATCAATGAGATGGGCTTTTTGCCCCAAAATTTCCCAAAAAAAGATGTTGTGTGGGGCTAAGGAGAAGTGAGTCACGAGGTAAAGGTGAAACACGTTATATCCAAACACGGACTCGGAAAGTTTGTCATATACGCGATTCAGTGGGAAACGTTAAGGAAAACGAGACTACGCGGCAAGCCCTTTTGAGATACGCTACATGCATAAATCTCTCCAGGACAGAAATAAGCACGAAAGCTGGAGAACCAATCCACGGAAACAAGCCGAGGATAGGCAATTAAACATCAGATCAATCATGCCGGATTCCTGCGGATTACAATCGGCGCCGGAAACTACCAAGGAAGCCAATATTCTCCTCGGCAAATATCAACTCGTCCGCCTCCTCGGCTACGGATCCTCCGCCAAAGTCCATCTCGCCCAAAACCTCTTCACTGGACAGAACGTGGCCATCAAATCCTTCACCAAACACCGCATCGTCAAAGCCGATCTTATTAACTCCGTCAAACGAGAAGCCGCCATTCTCCGCCGCCTCCGCCACCCTCACATTGTCCGCCTCCACGAAGTCCTCGCCTCCCGCACCAAAATCCACTTCGTTCTCGAACTCGCCAAGGGCGGCGATCTCTTCTCCCGCATCGCCACATTCGGCCGCTTACCCGAACACCTCTCTCGCCGCTATTTTCGCCAGCTCATCTCCGCTGTCGCTTACGGCCACTCCCACGGCGTCTTCCACCGGGATCTCAAGCTTGAGAACCTACTCCTTGATGATCGGGGTGACCTAAAGCTCTCCGACTTCGGCCTCTCAGCCGCCCCTGATCAGATGCCCGCCGACGGGCTCTTCCACACGCTTTGCGGCACTCCAGCCTACGTCGCACCGGAGATACTCGCGAAGAAAGGGTACCGCGCAGCGGTTGCCGATATATGGTCCTGCGGCGTCGTTCTATTTACCCTTAATGCCGGCTATCTCCCTTTCAATGACACCAATCTCATCGCAATCTACCTCAAAATCTACCGCGGAGATTACCAATGCCCTAAATGGACCTCGCCGGATCTAAAACGGCTCATCGGTCGCCTTCTCGATAAGAATCCTGATACTCGGATCACGATCGATGAGATTTTACGTGATCCTTGGGTTGCAAGGGGGATCGACGAGAAAGAATGGACGGCAATAGGTATGTTCCAGGAGGAAGGAAAGGTTTCGTCTAAGGCAGAGGAGGTGGAGGCCGAAGACCGGGCTCTGAATGCTTTCGACATCATCGGATTCTCCAGCGGGTTGGATCTTTCCGGGCTAATTGGTGTGATGGCAGAGAGGGAGCGGTTTGTTGTCGATGAGACGCCGGAGGCGGTGCTCCGGCGGGTGGAGGAGATTGGGAGAGGGGAAGGCTTGTTGGTGAATAGAAAAGGGAAAAAGGGTAACGCAGGGGCGGCGGTGCGGGAACATAATGGGAATTTGGTGGTTGGCGTTGATGTTTACCAGCTGAACGGAGGATTAACAGTGGTTGAGGTGGACAGGGCCAGGGGCGGGGATGCGAAGGGGAGGAAAATTTGGACCGGTGAGTTTTGGCGTAGAAAAGTACTGCCGACTGGAGATAGCCGGTTGATAGACTGTTCTTCGTTATAATTTGATAAGCTCGGCAGCAGCTTATGCATAATCCAGCTCGTGTAAAAATTATTGATAATGGGAGTAAATTAGTAAATAATTTATATCCTGTATTTTTCATCAAAACTTTTTTTACTATCGTCATAGGTGATATTAAATTTTTTTTAATAAGTTTAATTATTAGTGCATTCAACCATGCTTCTAAATTTAAAATTATAATTTATTATCAAAATAATAAACTACCTTTCATTATAATAATGCTGGACTGAAGTACTATATATTTCATTTACTTAAATACAAATTTGAAGTGTAATTAATGTTGGATTTAAGTATATATAAATGACATCAAAATATCATTAATAGAGATATATGATAAAAAGATAATAATTAAAGAGAAAAAATTCTGGAGTGAAAAAATCAAAATTTTTATTTCATCATAAAAAAATATAATATTTAAGCAAAAATGTTTTCATGTGTTAGAGTATTCTTATGACTCCTATTTATAAGTTTAGGTTAGGACTCTATCTTAGCTATATGTAATAAGTACATTACAATATCTAATATTTGATTATTGTACTAAGGAATAAGATGCTTTGCTAAAATGTACATAAATAATAATTATATAGTTTTTAATTTAGATTTTTTACATGAGAAGTGGTTTAACAATTTGATTTTTTTTTTTTTGGGTGAAATGAGGGCTTAGCCCATTAACAATTTGATTTTAATCAACATAATATTGCAAAGTGGTTTTAGAGCATGAGACAAACTACTTTGGTGATTTTTGGTAAGGTGATGAAATCGTGAAACTGATAAGGATTTCATGAATAGGTACGTAATATGATTCTTGGTTGAGATATGATGAATTTGAATATTGTTGTTCATGTTGCATTCATGAATAAAATAACATTCTACTTCAATATGTTTTGTGTGAGCATGATACATTAGATTGTTTGCAAAATGCTATAGCGGATGTGTTGTTTGCAAAATGCTATAGCGGATGTGTTGTTTGCAAAATGCTATAGCGGATGTGTTGCCACAAAATAGAGTGGGGGATGATCGAAAATAGTCAAACTCTTGAAGTAGGCATCGTAACCAAATAATTTTAGAGGCTGCAGATGCTGAAGCTCAGTACTTAGCTTTGATGAAGAGCACGCAATCATGCTCTATTTCTTAACACTCCAAGAAATGAGGGATTGGCTAAAAAAAAATCAATATCTGGTGGTTAATTTTTGAACGAGAGCATCTCCCATCCAATTAGAGTTGGAATACGAGCAGAGTGATAAAGGCTCCATATATAGGGGAAGATTGTGGTGAATGGAGCCTTGTATGAACCGTAGTATGTGCTTAAGTCCTTCAAAGTGAGATTTTAAAGGGTTTTGTATATGTTAACAAAGTTTGTTTACAACATATATATGAGTGATCCGAACAGGTGAGGGAGAGATACTACAATGAACCAACATGGTATCAATAAAGAGTTGGATTAGAGAATGGAGGTGGGTCCAAGCAGTGTTTGATATGGGTCGGTGTAGATAACTGCTTGGTGTTCTACATGTCTACACGTTCAACGATGGTTTGAGCATATTAATTATAATGAAGATAATATCGTAGGTAGTGGACATTGCATTAATGCCGAGAAATTATGATAAGGAGCCAAAAATTTGCACATGAAATCAAGTATATAAATTGTCCAGCAAACTATTAAGTACAGTGGTGTTGTTGTCAGTCAATAGGAAGTCATCCACATGGATGATTTGGTACATAAAAATGGCATTTTGGTTGTAGATTAGTTGTGAAGGATCGAACTGGCTAGATTGAAATCCCAAGGTGGAGATAAATAAAGTAAGATTGGTGAACCATTATCGTGGCGCTTATTTGAGTCCGTAAAGGGCTTTCTTCAGTTTGCAAATATATGTAGGATGAACTATATCAATAAATTCTTGAGGCTGCTTCATAGATACTATATCTAATAACTGGCCATGTAAGAAACTGTAGGAAATAATTAATTGATGTATTGGCCATGTGAGATGAAGAGCGTCCACAAGAAGGACATGCACCGTTGGCATTTTTTCTACTAGGCTGAATATATGTAATGATTTTTTGGGAGTTCTAACAACTCATCAAATATTTTTGGATGATATTGATTATAATGAAGATAATATCGTAGGTGATAATATCGTAGGTAGTGGACATTGCATTAATGTCGAGAAATTATGATAAGGAACCAAAATTTTACATATGAAACGGAGTATATAAACTGTCCAGCAAACTTTTAAGTGCAGTGGTGTTGTTGTTAGTCAATAGGAAGTCATCCACATAGATTAGTTGGTACATAAAAATGGAATTTTTTTGTAGATTAGTTGTGAAGGATCGAACTGACTAGATTGAAATCCCAAGGTGGAGATAAATAAAGTAAGATTGGCGAACCATTATCGTGGCGCTTGTTTGTCGGTAAAGGGCTTTCTTCAGTTTGCAAATATATGTAGGATGAACTATATCAATAAATTCTTGAGGCTGCTTCATAGATACTATATCTGATAACTGACCATATAAGAAACTGTAGGAAATAATTAATTGATGTATTGGCCAGGTCAAATGAAGAGCGACCACAAGAAGGACGTGCACCGTTGGCATTTTTTCTACTGGGCTGAATATATGTAATGATTTTTTGGGAGTTCTAACAACTCATTAAATATTTTTGGCGGATATCGGCTTAGTGTAAATCTGAACCCCCCCCCCCCCCCCCCCCCCCCCCCCCCCCCCCCCCCCCCCCACCAGACCTTGAGTGAGTACTCGAGGGGTAAAAAAACAACCTCAAGATCTTTAGAACTTTAATCTCAAGGTACGAATCAGTAATAAAGCTTCAAAGATATTCCATGGATTCCTGCCTCATATTTAGTTGGGCTCACGATTATTTTAATGGCTTTTGCATGCTAATAAATTGTGTGATAAAAATAACATTAAATTTTATTAAGTTAATGATGTTTCTAGTAGGTAGTCTTTAAAATCATTATAATGGTACTTTCTTGAATGTTGTGAAGAGTAATTAACATTTCAAAATTTTATTGAAAGTAAGAAAATAAATTGTTAACACGAATTGATTAACATCATCAACGAAGTCCAACTTTCCTCAATGATTTGAGAGTCGACATTTTATACATGGAATGAAGGTTTAACTAATGTAATTTGAAGTGAAAATACATTGGTAAGCCAAGTAAAAAATTTCTTGGATTCTCAAGGTTGACAAGATTTTGCCTTTTCTTTCATAGGAGATGAGGTAATCAAATATGTAGATTGATACTGTTGATGATGTAAAGAATTGGTTAAGTTGTGTTCTCAATGCGGTGGATAAGAGGAATGTATTTTGTAGTTAATCCAATATTCTTTTGATCATCTTTGTTAAATGATCTTCCAACTAGTTTTAAATGTTTTGAAGTGAAAAAAATCATGTTGCTCATTAATGTAGGAATACTTCACATCTATCAGGTTTTGGATCCAATTACATTCATATGTGATATCAAAATCTTCCTAATAAGATTATCATACACTACGAAAAAACAGGATTTTTCGCAACAACCTCAAAAATCAACATTTAAAACTGGTTTAGACCGCTGCTACTTGCATCAGTTTTAATAAGTGCAAATACAACCCATTTTGATCGATGGCATAACACAACACAACAACCCTAGCTCTTACACCCGATTTGATGCTCACCTCTCCCCCTTCTCTCTCAATCGCTCGGCTCTCCCATTTCTTTGAACTTCATGCATAGATTCACTCTTGAGGCCTTCGATCGGAGAGAACATGAGTGTGTCGAAGCCTAACACCCATCCGCTCACGTCTAGTTCTTCCTCTCCTTAGATGGTTTATCCACTAACCTGAGATCATGCTTGTCTGAGCATGCTCGACCCTACTCCAACCATGTGTTGCTTGTGGTTTCAAATAATTTTTTTTTCTACTGTTAATTTGTGGTTTCATTTGAAATGCTTGTGTAGCTGGTGGTTTAATTCTTAGAAATGCTTGTGCATCTTATGGTTTAATTTGAATTGCTTGTGTAGCACTCATGTCTCTATAGTGAAGTATCACAAATGCATTCAAGCATATGTAATGCATTGAAGCATATGTCGGTAGTGCGGGTTAGAGAACTAAAAAGTTGATCGATCGTTTGTATAATAATATGGCTACTAACATATTTCTTGAAGGGAAAGTAAAAGAAAGTTTTTAGTAAAATAATATCATTTGAATAATAATATGGGAACTAAAACCTTATCTATTTATTATCAAAATTATACTATTTGTTTTCATACTATATAAAATTTTTAAAATGAGGTGAAGTTATCAAAATTTATAAGCCATTACAATTAACGGTTTAGTGTCTAGCATCTCATGTTGGTCATAGATAATGACGAAATTGAAAATTCAAATGGGTGGAGCCAAAATTTTTAATTGAATTTTAGAAAAGGTGAAACTACAATAATATGCATGATTGTACGAAGGAGATTTTTAAGAGAATTTTTTTTAAAAAAATATATATAACTTGTTAAATTTTCATGAGTGCCACCCCCAACGCTTTCATGCTTCACCATTTTTTTATAGACCACCATCATATATATATATATATATAATTTAAAAAAAAAATCTTGACGAGCTTCATGTGTCTCTCAATGATCCCTCCATCACATAATTTTAATCCCTATCATCCACTGTAATGCTATGTATTATAAAAGTTAAATACTGGGTGTCCAAATTGAGCCAAGTATAATCCATTTGCATCCATCAAATCAAAAATTTATGTTAATGGATAAGAGCTACTACTAATATATCTTTGAATGTCATGTGATGCATTAACGTACAATTGCTACACATAAAGATGCGCTTGAGTGGAAAAGGGCTTTTAATCTTTCACGCATACTTCAAGCATGTAAAAACTATGTAAAATCATCATTACAAAGTAAATTTGGTGTAAAAACATAAATATATGCTACTCAAATATGGTTAGTGCTCATTCAATTTAATACTTATAGCATAAAGCCATAAGATTTGGTGTGAAGTATTTTCTTTGGATGTTGCAAATGTAATTTTAGGCCAACCTTAATAGTATGATTCA